AAATGCATTGCAGAAAGATTCAGCGATTAAGGGACATCTCTCCTTTGCTTTACACTAAATAGGTTGATTGATTCACTTGTCCATCTAAAATACTGAATAAAGTCCTCAGGAATGCTATAAACAATTCTGAAGGTAAGAAAAATTACCATGTCTACATTCTTTTTATATAACCATGACCTTACAAAAAACATGCATTTCTGTTAACAATATATATAATTAAGTTGAGAAAATAGATTATCTATATTACACATGGTTATATTAATCAAGTATCATGATAGTCCAGCTATCATTGGCATAGCTTATGTTGAGGCATCCAAGGCAGTTGCCACGGTAAAAAAATAAATAAAAAAATAAAATAAAAAAACTTTCTTTAAAATCTTTTAAACAATTTTCACAAAATGCAGCAGACTGGCTACTAAATGCTTATATACCGACTTGTATCGTCTTGTTGCCGTTTTTTATTCATACCCTTTGCGAGTTCAAGACTAATGGAAACATTTGCCTCCTTTAATTGGAAATCCCGACCCCTTTACGGTAGTTTTCAGTAATCTAAATATGTCGGAGTCAAAGAAATCAACACAATTGAAACTGACAAATTTATATAATCATACCCCAAGCAAAATCAGTAGAATAGATGATGAACTAATTCACGAGTCTTCCCTGATCAAATCACTTGACCATTCAGTTAATTATTAATTTTGTGTGAGTATAATTTCTAGTAAATGAGGGTGGTTGAGGTTTACAGAATACAGAAAAATGCCTTGACATTAATTTAAACTTAAAAGAATAGAGATTTATTAAAAATGGTTCTAAAATATAAAAGAAATGAAAATCAAATTATGGACAAAAAGAATTGAAAATAGATATTTGAAGACCCTCATTTATAATCGGTAACGCCTAAAATTGGAAATATCATTGTGTGTTGACATTTTCCCTAGCAGGGAATTTTAAATATTCAAAGGAGTCATTAATTCCAGCGACATATATAGTGTAACTATATGTCTGTTAGTTCATACATATATGTCAGTTTCTATATAAAATTTTCAACCAAACTGTTTTTATTTATTTCGAAGACTTCAGAAAAACATAAATGTTTCTGTTAGTTCTTCACTGGTTGTCACTTTCACAATGGGAAAAAGTTTAAAACCATGTAAGGATCATGTAAGAATTTGAAGACCTTCCAAGAAATATCAGGGCAAAAAACAACAAATAAAAGTGTCTTTATTTCCTAGTTTTTAAAGAAATGGTGCCAGCATGATGTCTGGTAATGTTTCTGGTATTTAAACCCGCATAAAGCAAATCCACCCAAGAGCATATTTTCAGCATTGCAGAGCGCAGGTTTTGAATCTTGTTGTTGCATCCACTTGTAAAGCGCTAGCTGAGATCCGGATTTTTTTTTTTTCTGTAAGTCAGCTGACATAGTTTCTTGGTGGATTCACAGCTGTATTGTTGACTTGTTGTGTCATTAAAGTATACCCCATATCCATCTCCTTTTATTTGTAAAGAATTTAAAAACTGTGAAGTTCACTGAAAAGGTTCAATTTGAAAGTGGTAAATGTTTTTGAGAACATTTATGTATTCATCTGAATATTGAAAATGATGAAGGTACCAGTAATCAACTAATAAATCTGTAGTATAACTTAGTGTAAGGCATATTAACATTATTATGATGAAGTAAAATAAAACAAATGCTATTATTTTTATTAGATTCTTCTTGTTCAAATTGCAAAACCTCAACAGCTTCTGGGGGTTTGCCTCGCTGCCTCGGTAATAACAAATGCCAAGCTACACCACCGGCAATGGTATATGAAGAAGTTATATTCTTGATGTGGTAACTCTGGTTTTTCTAGAAATTATGATACAGAAAGTTTCTTCATAACTTATTTCAAGCCAAAACCAAAATAAAACATTTTTTTTCCTGCACTCTGGCTGAAAAAAATAGGGAAGGTAGGAAGGTAAAGTAATTTTATTTTTTGGAATATTTTACATACACATAGAATACATGTATATAGGAAAATGTTCTGGACGTTTACAGTCCTCACTTTAAATAATGGGACATAATTAACTGTGCATTACCTTAAATGTCCATAAAATGTGTTAGGCATGTTAGGGTGGGCATGAAAAATTAGGGCAGGGAGAGAGGCAGGAAACACAACTATTTTTTTGCCTTGATACCAAGTTTTTGTTTTACTGACCAATATTCTGTTAGAATAGAACTTTTTCAGTACCAAGGTCCTGAATCATCTCTTAAATTTGATCTTATCTAAGTCTGACAGGTCCTGTATTGATATAGGGGTCTTTGCATTTCATTGAGATTAGTCTACATCTCTTCTACTTCAGTTTTGACTTTTGCGAAATTTTCAGAAGTGGCATGTTGTCACCAAATAAAATTGCTACACATATCTTTTGGGTAACACCAGGTCTGTCTCAAAAGTATTTAAAAGAAAACAGACAGTAGTATACTGAAGTCCAGATAGTTGTGGGAAATAGACAGATGTTATAATATTGTATCTTTTTTTGTCCAATTGTATCACTTTTTACATGTATATACTATTCTAAAACTACTGATTTGCTTCAATCACTGTACTGTTTCATATATATAGTCTTGCATTGTCTGTATCTTGTGTCTTATCCTTGAAAGATGACAGAATATAAAATATTGACACCTTGATACCCAAAGTAAATTATACATGCCATAAAATCAATAAGACAATATCCTGTCTCAACTCACTTGTGAAGTTCTCACATTAATTGGAATATTGTGGCCATTAGCTTTTATATAATATGCTACTGTCAATCAAATTTTATATGTTTTTTTAGGGGTTTTCAGATGTAAATCTGGTTATAGTAATTTGGGGTAGTACTGTCATGATGGAGTTTTTGGCCACTCCAGCTGTTTCAGTCCAATAACTTGAGAATCATTCAGCCATTGCTTTTCAAATTTTGATATGTTGTTAATGATGGAGGTCAAGTTTGAAAAATTACCATTTTCACTTATGCTGCTTTGGGAATTACCTCAGAAATGGACATTTATGTCTGTTCGGTGTTGTTACTTGTTCAACTGATGGTTTATATATTTTTTATGTTGTTTCTAATGACAAAATAGATTTAAAATTCATCATCGAAGACTGTTTGCAGCATATTTTGACTGTAGTCATATTTTGGTATATTTGGTGCCTAAGATGAATGTATCCAAAGTAAACACAAGAAAATAAAACATTCACAAAAATTATAAATGCAAGATTTTTGATAATAGTAAGAAGAACATTAATTTACATGTAATTGGAAAAAAGCCATGACACTAACATGTGATTAGTAGGCTCAACACATTAATCCAATGTCATCAATTTTGGCAAATTTAAAATATGGATTGATCCCAAGTGCCCAAATTATATGCACTAAAATTAAACAGCTACTGTTTTGGTGAAAACAACTAAAGTATACTCCTGTTTATTAACAGTATAATCAAGTGAAAAATTCATTTATATATACAATATAATTAGACCATTACCTCATTGATTAAAATGTCACGATAGACTGTTAAATAAATTCTAAAGATAACCCTATATCGATATCATACTAAAAGTTTGTCAGATTAGACCATGTTTATTCTAAATTTGATTTGTACTCTAGAATTCAGTCTTTAATGTGGGTTTATTTTAGCGTAGGCCAACCAATTCAGTTTAAAGACACCTGGGATTTGTTTTTCTCTCATAAATCTGACAAAAATTGTAGGCCGACCAATTTAATTCAATGAATATTTCAGGACACAAGGGAATTTTTTTTTATGTCTCATACATCTGACAAAAGTTGGTTTAATATTTGATAAAAACAGTTATTCAATATGTACAGTAATGATTGTTCTCGGTTGATTTTGAAAGAGCATTGACATAAATAAATATTTTGGACATATAATTTTGCCACCTGCAACAGTATCATTCTATTTTGGAATGATGGATCATGCTTTCATCCTACAAACATGATATTATCTTCAAATACATGTATTTTTGACAAAATTGGGATATTTTGAGCCATTTATGATATAATAGTGTGTGGGAAATTATGACTATCAGTGTATACATATACTGTTAGTATTTTCATTTCTATTCACTCAAGTAGATTTTTATGAAAGTGTTTCGTTTTCATTTCATCAGGAAGGTTTTATTTATTGGATTTTATCTTTCAATCTCGGATACATTTTTGTAAGTTTTTTTATTTGAAACAAGAATGGTAGTTGAAGAACAGAATACAACATTGTTATACATTGATCATGTTTTTTTAGAATATGTATAATTTCATTTGCTGCTATCTTTGTTATTGTAGTACAGTGTATTAATTTGACATTGATTTGTTTACTGAATAACTGCTTGAAGGGACTCTTACTATCATTTCAAAATACAAGTTCAATTTGGAGCCGAACTTTGCAAGAAAAGAATTCGATGTGAAATCAAATTTGAAATCAGACAGCTTCACGAAAAAATTTCAAATATATATGCAATCTTAAAAATACCTTATAGTTAAAATGTTTTGTGCTGGTTGTTGTTAAATTTTGACCATCTTGATTCTTTTTTGTGGTAAAAATATATATATCTTAAGTATCACTTATACTTGTATTGCAATGTCTGATACTTACAGGAATTAGTTTCATAAAAGCAAGTTTATTGTTTGTAAATACAGGCATTTTAAGTTTAATTTTGATACAGTTTGATAGATAAATACATTTTTGTCACAAAAAAGTATAAAAAGTTCGAATTGTCTGCTATATTTTCATGTATCTATAATTCCTTTTGCTTTATGCATTCGTTATAACATTGTGACATGTGAAAAGTAAGTACTTATTGAATAAAGTTTATCAGAAAGATCCTTCCAGAATATAGTTGCAGAAATGTTTAAGTCTTGTTATTTCTTATAGGAAAACTTGTTGAAGGTCTGGTGGACAAGTTATCAAGTCTAGGTAACTGGAATAAGATTTTTTAACATTATTTACCTTTATTTTACAGATACATGAAGTAAGTGTGATGAAGAATGGGTTGTATTTTGTCAAAAAGAGACGGAGGGAGAAATTCATTGGTATTTAGAGTTTACAATGTCGATGAAAATGGCATAAAACACAATCCTGGAAAAATTGAAATTACTGATACAGATCTTATTCTTCGTCAAAAAGGCAGAGATCACATTACATGGCCATTAAGGTGCTTAAGACGTTATGGATGGGAGGAAGAATTGTTCTCCTTTGAAAGTGGGCGACGGTGCTACACTGGACCTGGAATTTATGCCTTTAAATGTAGACGAGCAGAGACTTTGTTTAGAGCTGTTCAGGAAAGTATAATGAGAGTAGGACAGGGAGACCTGTCTTCCAGTCGAGCATTTGATAATCATGGACATTCGAACAGCAGACCGCCATCAACAATCGAAATGAGTGATTTGATGGCCTTTTCTATTCCTAATGGAAATACAGGACTTTCAAGTATGCGTGAAATGAATTATGTCAATCAGACTGTTGTAAATGAACATGAACAACACACATACCAGAATACGGCACCTGTAAGAGCTAATGGTTCGGCAGCATCCACAGCAGATACTGCCGCTGCTGCTTTGATAGACTTTCTGCACAATCCATTGCAACAAACTGATCCAAAGTTAAATTATATTGACCCTGATTTTCCTACCAGTACTGAGAGTTTAACAAATTTAAATTTGAATATGAATGGACAATCTTCTGGTGCAAGGCAGGAACAAACAAACATAAAAAGACAATTAGATTCTGACGGAAGACATCCTTCCATTGATATTATTGACTGTGATGATACAAACATCAATGAAGTTTTTGATCAAGATTCAGCTTTTGAGTCGGAGCGACCAGCAGAATATATAAATGTGGGGCCATTACAAGATAATGGTCGACTGGAATCTAAACCGACAATACCCCCTCCTCCAATGATAAGGGAACCAGAATACACAAATATAAATCCTAAGAACCCAGCAGTTCATCAGTTAAATTATATTGAAGTGGGTCCAGGAAATTTTTCAAATTCGAAGCCCTCAACAGGGATTGTTTCTCCTTCTTCGATCGTTGCAACTGTTCCCTCAGCACCAGGACCCAGTTCCTATGCTGAGATTGATTTTCACCGGACTGAAGCGCTTTCCAATCGCCAAGTGCTTGAACAAGATGAAGGTAGTCGAAAGACAAGACACAATAGCTCTATCAGTAATGCATTTTAATTTTGCCAAGTTGTTGTTTAGAAAATTGATGTGTATAATTATGGTGCTTTGTGATAATTATCATGCAGTTCTGCTACATTGTACAATGTATATATAGGTTCTGTACGTAAACAGACATTTCTGCTACACATATACATGTATGTATTATTTATTATCAGGATGTACTGCATATGTACATGTATGAGACACAATCTGTTGCCTCCATCACTTGCTGTTTTGCCCAATTAAAAGTACGTTTTATGATAGAAAAATATTGATTATGATATGTTTTGTTTCTTTTTACTTTTAATTGATTCATTTAACACATATGAAACAATGAAACTGTTTTTATACAACACAAAGACTGACAAACTTTATTAGGTACAAGATCATGTTTTATTTTTTGAGAATATCTGTTTTATCTAAAAAAAATTCTCACAAAAACAACATTTTTGTGAGAAAATTAAAGTTTGAATTGTAAAAAGGTAGCTCTGTTGCAGATATGATGAAAAATGGGGGTTGCAATACTTCTTGTTAAATTTATATGAACAATGTAAATCATTATTGATTGTTGAATTTTGAACTTTTTTTTTATCTTTTTTTAATTTCTTATATATGAAGATGTAATATTTCTAATGGAATGGGCGTCCAATTTTTGTTTCTTAACATTGCCTTTGGATTTTGAACAATAGTTTTTTTTTGTTTTTTTTTATCCTTACATGTAGTTCTACTTGTTATAAATCACTAAATATGAACAAACAAGGTGACAATGAAATTTGCTACAATTATTTGCTGGTTTTTTTGTTACTTATACACATATAAAAGCATGGATGGATTATGGCAACTAGTTTGTTAATATAATTATTGTATCATTATGATCATTATGAAAACTATATTTCACATAGCATACATGCCTTATAATACAATATTTGTCTTTACAGGGTTACTTTTCCAGAATATGCATGAAATATTTGCCACTGACAGTCTTTAAAGTTGATTTAGATTTTGATTTGTTACTGATTATTTATTCTCAATCAGAAAATTCAGATAACTCACACTGAAGTCCTAAAATTTTCTCATACTCACAAAAAATAATGTTCTATATGTGCTCTAATTGACTGAATGTAAAAAGATTAAAGTTCATTTGTGTATTTGTAATTTTGTGACAATAACATGAACAAAGGTACTAAGTATTGCTACTTTTGCATGATATTTAATACCGGGTAATGTTAATTTAATTCTGATAGTATGCTACTCAATTTGTAATGCATTATGTCTTTTATATTGGCATATCTTTTTATCTCTCATATTGTTCCTGGAAGGTTAGTGAGAAATTGTTGACATTTTACATTAATTGAATGTGCATTATATATTTGATTAAATTTATACATTTTTAATGTACCAGAATTCCCTTGATCGCAGTTAAGAACTAAGAAATAATATTCTGGTGTATTCAATATTCTTGTGTAATTTGAATCTGAAAAAGTTTCTGTTTATTTTGAGAACTATATGTACAAATTAATTTTTACTGGATTTATGATTTAAAATATGAATTATTTCATGGCTGATTATGTAATATATAATTATTTATCATGTTTATAAATCAAATTTTCAAATTCTATTAGATCCTACATGTATGTCCTGTGATGTTCCTGGAACTTTAATTGAATATGTTATGTAGCTAGGGTAAATGTGACTTAAAAATTGGTAAGTCTTAATATATTATGGAGCAGTTTGAGACATATAGATTTCACCACTGCAACAAGTGTGTAACGATATTTCTCCACTCGAGACAGTTAGATTTTAATATTTAAAGCGCAAGGCTTGCCGAGCTTTTTAAATACTTTAGATTTAACTGTTGAGAGTGGAGAAATATCGCAATACACGAGTTATAGTGGTGGAATCTGTTTCTCAAATGATTCTTATCCTTCCTTTTCAAAGATTTGCAGAAAGTTGTGTTCTTTATATGTGATGTCATCACGCATGGTCGCCTTTTTTCATGACGTCACAATAGGAAAATTCAGAAGAAACCAAGAAAATTTGACGTCATAATTAAATTTCGACCAATCATTTGCCGAGAACAAATTTTTCAATAGTGAGGAGAACTATATTTCTCACACTGGTCAAGAAATGTGAAAATAGCACAAAAATTAGAGAAATAAGAAATCTTGGATAAAAATAACTTCTGCTTTCACAACAGAAAATAAAATATTTGAATTTTTTTTCTCATATTCTTCATGTTCTTAGTTTTTCAAAACTTAAATTAAAAACTGTGCACTAAAATAATCCAGTGAAATAATATTATTGACCATTTTTATTTAAATGAAAATATAAATCTTTCACTTTCATCATGCCTGATTTTTGTTTTAAAAAGATGAAATAGTTTGGAAATTTCATGCCCTTGACATTTTATTTTTTAAACCTTAAACATTTGTTAAAATTCCAAAGAACTTAACTTACATTGATTAATCATTGATCTTGAGACATGATTGCTTTGCTTTGTCTCAGTTGGTTAATTTAGTATCAGATCTGTATAAAAAAAATTTATATTCCAAACTTTCAGTTTTATCAGACAATGTTAGAGTTTATCCTATGAGAAGGTTCTGCTAGTACACACAAATGTAGCAGCAAAGAAAAAAATTGAGATCAGTTAAAAAAAATAGATCAGTCAATTCCAATTTGATCTTTTTTTAACCGATAACAGTAGTCCCATTATAATATGTTTGTAGGTCAATTTTTTTGAAGTTAATTTTAATCTGCAAATGTCAACTACTTGTAACACTTTTAACAATGCTTAAATGTCGTATTTAATCTGTTGATCCTATTTAAATTGTTCTATTATTACTAGTACTTAGTTATAATGTTACATGCAGATACTAAATAAATTGCTTTTATTCCCAAGGCAACCATATTTAATGGGTGTAATTTACTTGGTAAGATGATATGTAATATGATTCTTACGAAACTTCTGTAAAATCTATAGGATACTAAATCTAGGCTTCAACAAAGGAAAATTCAAAATATGGAAACGAAAATTGGAAATACAGACATTCCAAGTTTCTTTCAGCTATGAGGGTCTGAATGGGGTTTACAGAATAGAGTATAATGGCCAAAAAAAATGATGAATAGATAAATATGAGCCTAGCTAAAGTAAAGAGAATGATGGGATGCAAAAGAAAAAAAACTAACTGAAACTTAAAGAATTATGTAATATAATACTGATTACAGAAATGAACCATGTACAGACTAAAGAAATCATGTAATAACAAATAAATCTAATTGTAAAAGGATTTTCATGAGAATTTTAAAGAATAAACGTTATTTTTAAAGATAAAGAAAAATGCTTCAAAAAATTAAAGAATACAGAATGAAGGGTCCCCTATCCACACCCTCAGCTATTGGTTCAAACATCTGTGTCAGTTTGTGGGTTAAATAGAAACTCATCTTCATTTAATCTTGATATTCTGGGTGGGCCTGGTGGATTATAAAAATGAATATTCTGTTCTGGTAAGAACTGAAAATAGGTAACCTTGCCCAAAACAGAATGAAAATGAATATTCTGACCTAGTTAGAACTGAAAATGGCCTGAAAATAAATAACCTTGCCCAAAACAAAATGAAAAGGAATATTTTACTTATCATCTGATCAAAATGCAGGTAATAAATTTGTACAAAATTGAAAAACATTTAAGCAAGACTTGCAAACTGGATGAATATGCTGAAATAGGTAAAGATATATTATTTTCTTTTATTGGAGGTCTTGGCATACATGAATAATTTCATTAAGTTATCTCTCAAAACAGATTCATCTGCCTTTCCTGATTGTATATAATGTAAGTTAACTTCCTGGAGAACCTTCCAACAATATCCATCTGATTAATCTTTTTTTCATCCAGGTCATATTCATCCAGGCTACCTACATTTGATTTTCTATGTGCTTACATGTTGCATTTGAAAAAATAATAAAATAAGGGAAAATTTTATGAATACATGTATTAAACACATTTACTATTAAGTTATAGATTATATAACATAAGCTCACAAGCCAGTTTTGTATACTTTTGTAGAACATTTAGAAAGGCAATTCACTGTTTCAGAATCTAAAGAATTCTGGGTAATCATTTTTAGGTGTAGCCTATATAGTTTTTGGTATGCTAGATCCTCAATATTTACAATTTGATAAAAGGGAGTAGTAGTGTTATTTTCATATTTGATGTAAAACATTAAAGTTACCCCTAATCCTGTACATTCTGAACAGGGACAGTCTATACTAATATAGAATATATATAACTAGTATAGAAAGTCCCTGTTCTGAATCATAGGTGAATTGGAATAGAGTTTGCAATTTACTGATTGTATAATGATATTTTTTGATACAATACAACAATGTTTTTTTATTTGTGCATTTTACTATGGTCTAGTCACACAGATTACAGTGTTCAATCAGTTTTTTTTTTATATTGTTTTAACATAAGGCAATTTGTTTCAGTTATATAGTGCTTACCATGTATTAGAAATTTAGGAATATTGTTTTACATGACAATGTTTAAGTTGTGTAATAATATGATCATTTTCAATGAAAATCTGACTTTTATTATTGATTTTATTGCCTTGTATATAATTTATTTAATACGTTATGTAAACCCATTTTAATAAACTACCACTGCATCGAATGTGATACAATATTTCTCTTCTTGAGACAGATAAACTTTCAAAATAAAAAATTCCAGGCTTGCAGAGCATGTTAAATATTTAGAATTTATACGGTCATCAGTGGAGAAATGTCTTTTCACATGAGATACGGTTGTAGAATTTGTTTCTCTAATGATTTTTAGACAATGAGTATACAAACTTTATGTTTCTTTTATAATTCTCTCTTGTTATAAATCTCTTCTAGCTGCCGATCCATTTATGTAATAGTCACCAATTTATTGCCTATTCTTTTGTACTATATTTAACAATGTCTAGGGAGTTGCAGATCAAGTTTTGAGTTTCTTTCGTCGACAGATACTAACAAAAACAAATTGTGTCAGTAGGTATTTAACCATAGACCCCTTTTTTGTATGGTCACATATTGAAGTTTGAATTTTATTTCTGAGGGAATGTTAAATCATTATACCAAATAATTTTGGGCAATTCTTGTGTGATTATACTATTTTTAGTTTTTAGTTTGTTTAAATTCATTTTTTTTATTTTATTGTTTTTCTTGCAGCTTTTAATTGGTTGTGTGTCCCTTTCTATTGATCAAATTTTCTAGGTTGTGTCTTATTAAATTGTGATTAATTCTGGTTTTCATATTGTTTTTTATTACAATGTAATTTCAAATCATTTGCAATGTTTAAATTGTATGAGATAACTTTTCCCATTCAAAACTATTAAATGATATCACATTTTGACAATTCTCCATTTCAAAAATGATTTTTGTTTTTAATTGAAATGAAAAATTTAACACATTGTATAATGAAAATAATTAAACAAGATATAATAAATCGATATGAATACATTATATATCAGAAAGAAGTAATTTGAGTTCGTATGCCTTTTAATTTTAGTTATTAACAATTGTATCAAAATTGATTTCTTCTTCTTCGTGTAACATAAAACAGTATATCTTTATCATAATTATATTACTGATGTCATTATTTGAAAATGTATTGTCACTAAGGAAGAAATATTTCATCCTGTTTTACAATAATACTCAAATTTTCTAGCTTTTTTAAGGTCTTAGATTCTGTGAATGAAAAGTGCAATATTTTTAGACAGTACAGTAAGGATGAATGGTGTGGTTATTTTTAGCCTACTTTTAATGTGTGTTCAAACTAACGTGCAATAAATGTGCAAACCATCTACATATTAAGTTACTTCTACATCAATGTCAGTTTATTGATCACACTTCAGTATCATTTTCAGAAAGAGATTTTTTTCCGATTTCTAAACACAAATATTAGGTGTTTATTTTATGTACCAATATTATTATAAACTTTATACTGTGCACACTAGGTGATTCAGTTAAAATCAACTCTGAGGGGGATGATTTGTGTTTGGGATGTGGGATATATGGGGTTAAAAAAGAGGGATCTCCAAAATATAAGGAAAAAAGTGGGAAGTGGGAAAAAATTACAAAATTTACAGTTTTGTGAAATGAGCACTGCTGTGTTACCCCCTCCACTCTAATGTTTTTGCAAAGTGATTGCTTGTGATGTTGATTCATTCTGAAATATCTGTCTGAATATTCCATAGTTTTAACATGACAGGGTTGTAAATCAGAGTTTATCACCTATAGTTACCAGCAAGCACCTTGTTTTCTGCTGATTTATATATATTCAACATCAGCTACAGTGATTTTTAACTAAACTATCTTGTGTGTACTGTGCCAAATTTCATCCTGTTTTTAAAAAAACACAATTATTTCAAGATAATTTGACCAAAAACCATGTAATCTTTTACCATATCTTGGCATGTCTTTGTTTTATTTGTTGAAAATACTTGAAACTTCTTCTTAGCCACAAAACCAAATGAGACCAAACTTAAAAGAAATGATGTGATTGTTAATATGTTGGTCAGTGACTCGGTATGTGTTCTATCTTAAGATTAAAGGCATGACCATTATGGCAAAAACACGTTTTAGATTGATAGAGTGTAGTTTTTCAAAATATTCCATGGACCGTATGAAAGTCAGATATATTGATATGTTGATTACTGTAAATTCAGAAATTATTGCGAGGTTTTTATTAATGCTTAATGCGACTAAGTGAGCAACGCAATAATAAGAACTCGCGTTCTGATATCCGATATATATATCTTAATGCAGATTTTCCTGAAATCGCATTAATTAATCTCGCATTTTTGTCCATTCTTCAAAAATCGCAATAATAAATGCATGCAATAATTTCTGAATTTACAGTAGATTGTAACCTGCCTGCTAAGTGTTACCCAAAAAAATGAGAGCTACCGTAGTCAGACATTTTTTATATCCTGTTAATCTCTTTTGCATTGGTAAATAAAAGGGCATTTAAGCCGCTCAAGGTAACTACTGGGAAATTAAGAGAAAGGAATTTGGTCACAACACATGAAAATGATTACCCTGGTTACTCATACTTTGATATGGGTTCTGCCAAAGGCAGTGCATCCTTTGAAATTGGAATGTGAGATGACATGTCATATTCTTCATTAATGTTATAACCCACTGATTGAATATTTACTTTTATAATAAAGATCATGCTTTGTTATACAGGATGTTATCTTAAATGTAATAAAACTTAAGTTGAATTATCTCTAAGGGGTTAAAATTATCTCCAAATGGTACCGGTAACTTAATATAAAAAATATGGAGACATGGTATGATTATCAATCAGACAACTATACAACTAAACCAAAGGATGCTGTAAAACCTTGAGAAAAACCCATACAATATAGTGAGTCAAGTTTGCATTTGAATAGGTCTTGTAACTGTCTACTATGAAATGCAGTTCTAGTTAGAATTTCAATATTGTCACATTTGTACCATTCCAGAGTTGTGCTACTTCTATTGTTGTCAAGTAGTATAATTGAGATAGAAGATGTTAAACTTCAAAAAGTTAAGATCTTCTAGTTTTTAATCTCGGTAAATCCTTTGTTTTGTCTAAAGGTCAACTTTGAAATTGTATTGATCACTTTGCGTTTTTTGGCCTGTGTCGCATAATTTCTTTGACGAAGGCACTTGGCAAAAATTGCAAAAATCATCCTTAGGGAGTCGGGTTTTCAAATTATATCTGATGATGTTGCAAAGCATATAAGCTTGCTGCTTTTTGTGTGCTAGTAAATGTTATACAATGGAAAGAAGTAAAACAAGCAAAAATGATTCTACTAACTGTTTTCTGAATTACAAAAAGTTTTTTTTCTTCATTTTAATGGCTAATTTTTGTTGCAAAATACATAAATTTCATAGTGCATGATAATTATGAGCGGTATTATAGGGACAATGCTGGATTATGATGAGTACATGGAAATGCCTTAGAAGAAATACTGGTCAAATTTAGGCATAAATGCTGGTGAGCAATACACGCTTTTGTCAGTCTCTAACTCTTTCATTATTAGTTAATCATTTGTATGTTGTTTGAAAGTATAATTGGTAATTTTAAAAATTACTAATGACTAGCCATGTGTTAGTCTTAACTTAACATTGGTACTGTATATTGGGCAACATTGGGACATTTTTTACTTTTTGTTTGAGATGGAACTTTTTCAATAAACAAATCTGTTATTTCTATGTGGAATAAAATTAAGACAAATATCCTGTTTTCATATATCATTATACATTTAAATATCTCTTAAGGGGAAAACATAAGATTCTTTAAAAAAAAATCTTGTCCTTAAATATTGATTGTGCAATATGTATATGTACAATAGAAGTCATAAATATATATATGTATAAAATAATCCATGACATATTATTTCATGAGAGTGTTCAAAGTCCACAAAAACTTTTGTTTGAATAAATTGTTTGAAGTGATACATATTAGAGGCATCAGGAGAATGTAAGTAACAGAATTAACACACCTACTTATTATTGATTTGTAATGTGCAAATGGCATCTTCATCATTTGATCTTTGGTGGATAGTTGTCTCATTGGCAATCATCTTATTTTTATAATGGAACATATTTCAGATTGGGTAATCTCCCCTTTACCAGAAATAATCCCAACAAGAAATAACATGTTTTATTGTGAATTACAAATGCATTATAGGTATGGCTGATGAGTCTGAAACATGAGTAATTTATAACTTCAATTCTCAAGACGCCTCTAATATAACAAAAGGGCTAATGAAAAATTATGTTGGACTGATGCTTGTATCATAGCACTGTTAAATTTAACATGTGCCAGTCTACAGTTATATTGATTATGACTGCTTTATTTACTGGTGCAACTCAATGGAAGGAAAGAAGTGTTTTCCAACATAGGGCTTTTTATTTTATGTTACTGCTGTTTTTTAAAAGACATCTGTTATGAAATTATAATTATAATTTGTAGATGTTTGGAGAACTTCAGGATTTTATCTAACATTACATATTGAATGATTACAATATAAATGTGATAATTGTGTGTAACATTACAATATAAATGTGATAATTGTGTGTTGTAAACCATACTGATATTAGTATGATTGTTCTTCATTGTCTAATCAAGCAATAAAATCATCAAGTGGAAAAGTTGTCATTTTTTGTCTGCCAATCAGTACATATTTGTTGTTTGTCTACACTCATAGAAAAAGTACATGTCTATATTCAAACTAGAGTGCACATGCAGAAATTTCTGGCCTGCTAAGTGCGTTACTTATCATGATGGAATTTATGTTGAAAGTCTGTAATATGAAGGTTTTAAAACAGATATCACATAAACTTAACATCATCAAGATCCATATAAATGGGGTCACAGTCAAATGAACCCTGCCAGAAAGACAAGTACAACTTACAATCATACTATACACCAAATATAGTTGTCCTATTGCTTATAGTATCTAAGAAATAGACATAACCATGAAAATTTAACACCAAATAATAAAACATGAAAATGATATCAAGGTCAGATGCACCCTGCCAGACAGACATGTACACCTTTCAATCATTCCATACACCAAATATAGTTGACATGTAAATTATAGTATCAGATAAACGGACAAAAGCATAAAACTTAACATTGACCAATGAACCATGTAAATGAGGTCAAGGACAGATGAAACCCGCCAGACAGACATATTCACCTTACAATATTTCCGTACACCAATTTTAGTGTCCCCATTGTTTATAGTATCTGAGACTTTATCACGAAAACTTAACCTTGATCACTGATCAATGAAATGAGGTCTGGGTCAGGTTAACCCTGTCTGACAGATATGTAGACCTTGCAAGGATCCCATATAATATTGGGCATATACCAAATAAAGTTATCCTATTACTCATAATAAGTTATTATTTCACATGACAAAAAAACAATAAAAAAAAATTCTAGCAGTCGCTGTACCATGAAAATGAGGTCAAGGACAATGTACAAATATGACAGACATTGGTGCATTTTCAGTTCATATGGTTCTTAATTAATTTTCCTCGTCTCATCTTTATCATATGTTTCATTTTCTGAAATACCCAAGAATAACCTTTTTGGACATGAATAAAGAGAGATGAGGGGTGAGCCTCAATGAGACAGGAATTCTAAAACATTAATAAACAAGAGGCTGTCAGAGTGACAGCAAACCAGATTTTCATGCATGAAAATGATATTTGCAAATCTGGAGCCTGAAACAGGATAAAGTAAAAAAAAAAGTTTAGATTCAGCATTTCACAGAACGCTATATATATATTCAATTTTTGTTGAAATCAAACAGTTTAATTTTGGACCCCCGATTAGGACCACCTTGAAAACTGGACTCAAAATCGAAAATCTAAATACATGTTTATTAATAAACAATATAAGTTTTAGTTTTTAAGGGAGTTTGCTCCATAAAGAAAAAATATATACATAACATTCAGAAAATTAGTTTATACAAAATAACAAATAAGCCTACCACAAAATTCTTCAAAACATTTACCAAAAAAAAAAAGAAAAACAAATTTCCAAAATATCATTTATCATTAATACTATAATAATAATTAATATTAATCTATAAAACTTTTCTGTAATTAATTTCAAAATATATATTAATAATGAGCAGTAAATTTCAAACTATATTTATACTTTCCTACAGAGCTTATCATTAACAACACTTAGGAAACACAAAATTTTGAAATAAATCTGTCCCTCTAATTATTATTTTGCCACCCACCCGCCCGCTGTACATCCCCAAATCAATAACCGATTTTTCCTTCGAAAATCGGTTAAAAACTAAAAATCACATCTAAAGGGTATCATAATTAAGACAATAGTTGATCATGTTGTTGGCTCCAGTTCTCAAGTGATATAGGACTAGGGGGGGGGGGGGGGGGGGGGTGTTGTTTAGTAGTCTTGGGGAAGGAAACCAACATTACTTATTATAATGTTGATATGTCAATTCGTCCCAAGGGTAATCGTCCCATACTGAATACACGTATTCCTGATTTTCCTTAAGAATCTGAATAAATATTATTTGGGATGATACAATTTTCACATACTGTGGAATCATTTATTTTCATGGGTACCAATTTTTCGTGGATTATGGAAAACTTGATTTTCATGGATATTTGATTTTGTGGATTTCAAAAAGTCTGCATATATTCATACAGCAAATTTGTAATTTCTTGAACATTTAAATTCGTGGTTTCCTGCTACCCACGAAATCCACGAAAATTGGTATCCAACGAATAATAATGAATCCACAGTAAGCACACAAAAATAATGCAAAGAGAGACATGAATGATTAATAGAAAAAAATATATATATTGTCCCCAAAAAAATCTTTTTTTCTTATGTTTGTTAGCAAATTTTTTTTCAATATTTTGTAAATTTCAAGTGGTAAAATTTAATAAAAACACAAACCTTGTACTAGATTCTTTAATGATCATTCAGCCATAGTTTTGCTGAAATAGATCCAAAGGTTTCTTCAGAGATTTAAAAAAAAGTTTACACAGACCACAACCGACACCAAGGTACATGGCCCAGTACTAATTCAGTTTATTTTCCACTATAACAATAAAAATAAAAATAAATGGAGAATGTGTCTATAGGCCACAGATGCCCCCGCTTGTAAATATGCACGAGTCAATGTACTAATTAATGACATAGTTTCATAACATTTGGTTGGGGCAAACTAAAGTTAGAAAAAGGAAATGAAAAATCCTGGAATTTTTGTTTATAAAGGGGCATAACTCATGAACGGTAAAAGTGACGCCACCCAATTTCGAACTTGATCTGTGGTAATAAGCATTGTGTACAAGTGTTATAACATTTGGTTGAGGCAAACTAAAGTTAGAGAACCGAAACCAATTTTGGGGACGGACGGGACGGACAAGGGAACACTTAATGCCCCGTCTCCTAGCAGCGGGGGCATAAAAATCAAGGTGTTATCTGCAGCATGTCAGCTTAGATCAGTTGGACAGATTGGGATAATAATATTACTTACCACAACAAGTAGTTCTCTTGATATACTTTATGACAGGAATCTTAATAAAATTCTTAAAAGCTTAAAAGTTGATTCATTTTCAGCTAAATAAATCTTTACCCCTGCACTTCTTCTTCTTCTTCTTCTTCTTCCGGTAAGCGGCCACCGTCAACTGGTTGACTATTCTGCCACATTTTGGAGTGAGCGCATGAAATATTTTTGAAATTTATTAAACAAAAAGAGAATGGGTGCAATTTAATATATATACAGGTGCAATTAAAAACATGGCATTTAATCTAATGACGGAGCTGAGCCTTGAAGGATTCAGGACTCAGGGCGGAGACAGTAGAGTTGGGCAAGGTGTTCCACTCTCTGATTGTTCTTGGATAGAACGACTCCTTCCGTACAGTTGTTTTACACGATGGTATTCTAAGTGCCTTTTCGTTATTATTTCTGGAAGGGCGTTCATTCGGTATTAGCTTACTGGATGTATCGATTTTGACAAAGTTGTTTTGTAGCTTATACATCATTATTAAGCGGCTATGTTTCCTTCGTTCTTGTAGGGTAGACCATTCAAGATGTTCAAGCATGCTACTAACAGATGAGGTGTTGTGATATCTGTTAGTAACATACCTTGCTGCCCGTCTTTGCACCATGTCCAATCTGTGGATGTCGTTTTGTTGGTATGGATCCCATACTGCACTAGCATATTCTAAAGTAGGCCTGACGAGGGACTAACAGGATGTATGCTGTTATATCTGTTCAGGGTCACTCATGAAAAACCACTAAATCACCTCATAGTACAAATGTTTAAATTACGTATAAGTTGTGAATTATTTTTTTTTAAGAATGAATTAGGAGATACTGATACTGATTCTCAGCAAATAAACCGTAAACATGTAACATAAAAATTTGTAAGGGTTCCACGGAACCCAGTGTCTCGCCTACTTTTGCTGTTGTCTATGTTTTCAGTTTTAGAAAGTTATTAAAATTAAAAATAAAATGCTCCGCTGGGGCGCAGCTTGATACGACCGCAGAGGTCGAACCCTGAACAGTTGGGGCAAGTATGGACACAACATTCAAGCTTGATACAGCACTGAATTTGGATTGTAATTAAATATTTGACACAGCATAGGTTTCTGACACAGAATGAATGTGGTCTCAGAACTTGAAAATTTTTAATTTACCTATTCAAACCATATCATTATTATTTGCTTTTATATATAAATCAAAAATAACCAATTTAAAATGGAAAATTTTAAAGAAAAAAAAGGAAAAAAAAATCCCCCTCCTCAAAATTTTTTGAACCCCCTTTATGATTCATCACCCCCAAACTCAATCCCAGCCTTCCCTTTGTGGTATGGTACCTTGCAGTACAATTTCAAAGAGATCCATACACTTGAACACAAGTTATTGTCTGGAAACTAGAAAAATGCTTGTTTTTTGGCACCTTTTTGGCCCCAAATTCTTAAACGTTTAAGGCAATTACACCCAAACTCAAACCCAGCTTTCCCTTTGTGATATGGAACCTTGTAGTACAATTTCATAAAGATCCATACACTTACACACAAGTCATTGTCCTGAAATTAGAAAAAATGCTTGTTTTTTTGCCCCTTTATGGCCCCTAATTCCTAAAATTTTGAGGCAATTACCCCCAAAATCAATCCCAGCCTTCCCTTTGTGGTATGGTACCTTGCAGTAAAATTTCAGAGAGATCCATACACTTGAACACAAGTTATTGTCTGGAAACTAGAAAAATGCTTATCTTTGGCCCCTTTTTGGCCCCTAATTCCTAAACGTTTTCGGCAATTACCCCCAAACTCAATTCCAGCTTTCCCTTTGTGATATGGAACCTTGCAGTACAATTTCGTAAAGATCCATACACTTACACACAAGTTATTGTCATGAAACTAGAAAACTGCTTGTTTTTTGCCCCTTTTTGGCCCCTAATTCCTAAAATTTGGAGGCAATTACCCCCAAAATCAATCCCAGCATTACCTTTGTGATATGGAACCTTGTGGTACAATGTCAGAGAGATCCATACACTTACACACAAGTTATTTTCATGAAACTAGAAAAATGCTTGTTTTTTGCCCCTTTTTGGCCCCTAATTCCTAAAATTTGGAGGCAATTACCCCC